GAAGCAAAAATGCTATGCCAAGAAAGGAGATACAATGAAGTCATATGATATACTTAATTAGTACCAGATAAGGCAAAAAAGAGGGAAAAAGAAATAAGGAAACATGAAACTAACAGAAAACAGTTGCATAGATGGTATGTTGTAACCCAACTATAACAATAATCAATTAATTTTTAAAAGATAGAGATTGCCAAAATAAATTTGTTGAAAGACTCAAATATGTGTTTATATGCTGTCTATAAGAAAATCATTTAAAATATAAGGTCTTACATATATTAAAAATGAGTAGCAGAGAAAGAATACTATGCTAATACTAATCAAAAGAAATTTGAAGTTGTTATATTAATCTCGGACAAAGTAGACTTCAGAATGTGGGGAATTATTAGAGATAAAGAAGGACATTGCATAATGATAAAGGGGTCAATTCCCTGAAGACATATGCTATGCTTGAATATTTGACCCTCCAAACATCATGTTGAAATTTGATCCCCAGTGTTGAAAGTGGGACCTAATTGGGAGGTGTTTGGGGTCCTGGGGGAGATACCTCATGAATTGATTAATACTCTCCCTGGGAAGAAGGGAAGGAGAGTTCTTGCTCCATTAGTTCTCACCAGAGCTGGTGTTGAAAAGAACCTGACACCTCCCTCCTCTCTCTTTCTCTAGCCCTCTCACCATGTGTTTTCTACATACACAGTTCTTCATGTGTATGGCAGTGTACCATGAGTGGAAGCATGCTGAAGCCCTCACCAGAAGCAGATGTTGGTGTTATGCTTCTTGTACAGTCCGCAGAATTTTGAGCCAAATAAAATTATTTTCTTTATAAATTAGCTAGCCTTGAGTACTTTTTATAACAACATAAATGGACTAAGACAGCAAAAGAATACTAAAAATATAAGCAAGTCATAACAGCATCAAAATTCATAAGACAAAAAACTAATACAATCTAAAGAAAAAAATAGACAAATCAACTATTATTCTTGGAGACTTTAATATCCCTCTGTTGTAATTGATAGATTAAGCAGGCAAAAACATTCAATAAGAATACAGGTGACCTGTATGGCCTTTCTATCAGTCAACTTGATCTAATTGATATTTATAAAACATTTCATTTAATAGCAGCACAATACACAATCTGCTTAAACTTACAGGGAAATCCACCAAGACTATATTCTGGGTTGTAAAACACACATCTTAAAATTTTTGAAAGACTATAAATTATATAAAGTATGTTCTGAGATCAGAAAGGAATTGAACTAGAAATCAATAATAAAAATATTGCTAGAAAATTCCCAGACATTTAGAAATTGAGCAACACACTTCTAAATAGACCATGACCCAAATAAGTCTTCAGACAAATTTTTAAATATTTTAAATTAAATATAAATGAAAAACTATCTTGTCAAAATGTGTGAAATACAGTTAAAGCAATGCTCAGAGGTAAATATCTAATATTAAATACATATACTGTTTTAAAAACATATAAAATTAATAGTCTAAGTTTCTACTTTAGGAAACTAGAGAAAGAAGGGTAAAATAAACACAAAGAGAGCAAAGAAAGAAAATCATAAATATTAAAGCAGAAATCAATGAAATTAAAAATAGAGAAACAATAGAGAATATGAATATAAAACCAGAATGTGATTCTTTGGAATGAGCAATAAAATTGTTAAACCTCTAGCAAAGTTAACTAAGAAAAAAAGAGAGAAGACACAAATTATCAATGTCATAAATGAAGAATGGTCAACACTACTGATTCTGAGGACATTAAAAGGATAATAAGAAAATATTATGAACAACTAAAAGACCACAAATGCGATAACTTAGAAGAAATTGACCAAATCCTTGAAAGACATGACCTCCCAAAACTTACTCAATTAAAAAAGATAACATAAATAGCTCTCTATTTACTAAAATAAATAAATTTGTAATTTAAACATTTCCTCCAAAAAGAATATGCCATGTCTAGATAACGTTATTGATGAATGCTGAATTTTATCAATTTTAAGGAAGATAGAACTTAAAAATTAATCATTTTCAGAAAGTTTAAAAAGAAGGCACACTTTGCAGATCATTTTATATGGTCAGAAGTACCCTATTAACAACACAAGACAAAAAAAATCACAAAATACTATAGATCATTATCTGTAATGAGCATAATGCAAAAATCTTAACACTATTGGCAAATCAAATCCAGCAATGCTGAATTTTTATGCTAAAAAAACCACAATTAAGTGAGGTTCATTCCAGAAATGCAAAGATTTTTCAGCAATCATAAATAAATCAATGACATTCTACATATTAACAAACAATATGAAAACATATTAGCATGTCAGTACATGCAAAAATAATCCAACAAGATTCCAAACCTAAATCATAATAAAAATATTATATAAACCAACAAAAAATAAAAATAGAAACTTTTTAAACTTATAAATGGAATTAATGAAAAACTTACAGCTAATATTGTACTTAACCATGAGAGAATTTTAGCTATTTGGAAATACCATACTGTGCAATTTAACATATTGACAAAATGATTTCAAAATTTATAAGTAAAGACAAATAAATTAGAATAGTCAATCAACACAATTCTAAAAAACAAGGTTGGAAGACTGACATTACCCAATTTCGAGAACTACAGTAAAACTCCAGTAATCATGACAGTGCAATATTGCTGAAACTGTAGATATACTAATCAAGAAAACAGAATAGAATGCCCAAAAGTAGACACATACAAATATAATCAACCGATTTTTGGCAGAAGTATAAAGACAATATAATGAAAAAAAAATAGATAGTCTTGCTAATAAATGGTGCTGAAACAATTGGAAATCCATATTTAAAAAGTGAATAAATAAACTTGGACAAAGAGCTTACACCTTAAATTAAAAATTAACTTGAAATGAACCATACAACTAAATGTAAATTGAAACATTATAAAACTTCTAGAAATAATAGGAGAAAAGTTGTTATTTTGACCTTAGTGAGAAGTTTATATATAATACCAAAAGCATGACTCATAAAAAATGGTAAGTTCGACTTTATTAAAATGAAAAAGGAAAAAAAAACTTGCTCTGTGAAAGACACTGTTCAGAGAATGAACAGCTAAGCCACAGATAGGGGGGAAAATTGCAAATTATATACCTGCTATAGGACATGTAGTCAGACTACACAAATGAGACTTAAAAATTAAAGGTCAACAAAAAAAGCAAACAAATTAAAGAATGGACCAAAAAAGCAACAAACAACCCATCAAAGAAAATATACAGAGAAAAAATAGACATTTAAAAGGATGTTCAATATAATTTATCTTTGAATAAATGTAAATTAAAGCAACAATGAGATACCAATAAAGATTAGAATGGCAAAAATAGAACACACACACAAACACATGTAACAATAGCAAATACTGGTGAGAATGCAGGAATGCAAATTAATACAACCATTTTGGAAGACAGTTTGGCAATTTCATATACACATTTTCTTACCATATGACCCAATCATCATACTCCTAGGTATTTATTTAACTGACTTGAAAACAGTCCCACAGAAACATCTCATGTGAATGTATATAGCAGCTTTATTCATAATCATCAAAAACTGAAAGCAAACAAGATATCTTTCAATAGGTGAATGGATGAACAATCTATGCTGCATCCATACAACGGGATGCTATTTAGTGATAAAAAGGAATATATTATAAATCCACACAATAATATGGATGAATCTTAAATGCATATTGCTAAGTGAAAGAAGCCACTATGAGAAGGCTGCATCTTGCATAATTTTGTTGATATAACATTCTAGAAAAGGCAAAACAATAGAAACACAGATCAACAGTTACAAGGGATTTGTGGGGGGGGTGAAAATTGAATATGTGTAGCACAGGAAATTTGGGAGGGTGGTAAAATTACTCTATATGATACTATAGGGTTGAATACATTACAGTATGTATTTGTTAAAACATGTTTTGTGTGTTTCTTAGTGTCCAAACATGGACACTAAAAAACATACTGCTAAACATCCCCTGGGTCAACACAGAAATGAAGACAGAAATTAAAAGATTCCTGGAAACAAACAAAAACAAAGACACATCTTATCAAAATCTCTGAGATGCCATGAAAACAGTATTAAGAGGAAAACTTATAGCTCTGCAAACACACATCAAGAAAACTGAAAGATCACAAGTAAATAGCCTAATATCACACTTAAGAGAGTTATAAAGGCAAGACCACCAAAATCCTAACTTTAGCAGAAGGATACAGATCACTAAAATGAGGTCGCAGCTGCAAGGCACAGCAGAAAAAAAAATCATAGAAAAAATCAACAAGATAAAAAGTTGGCTCTTTGAGAGGATAAATAAGATCTACAGACCCTTAACAAAATTGACTAAGAAAAAGAAAGAAAAAACTCAAATAAATACAATTAGAAACACAAAAGATTGCATTACAACTGATTCAGAAGAAATTCAAAAGATTATCAGAGATTACTATGCAAACCTGTATGGAAATAAACTTGAAAAACTAAGGGAAATGGAAGACTTTCTGACATCACACAACCTTTCAAGGTTGAAACGAGAAGAAATTGAAACCCTAAACAGACCAATAACAATCCAGGAAATAGACTTCGTCATAAGAAATTTACCTACAAAAAAAAGCCCTGGACCAGACAGCTTTCCAGCTGAATTCTACAAAACATATATGGAGGAACTGATACCAATCCTATCGAAAGTATTCTGGACAATCAAGAAAGATGCAACTCTCCTCAAATCATTTTATGAACCTAACATCACACTGATACCCAAACTGGGTAAAGACCCAACAAGGAAAAAGAACTACTAGCCAATCTCCTTAATGAACATAGATGCAAAGATTCTCAATAAGATCCTAGCAAATAGGATCTAGCAACACATCTCAAGAAACGTGCACCATGATCAAGTTGGCTTCATTCCTCGCATGCAGGGCTGGTCCAACATTCATAAGACCATAAACACGAGTCGGGTCCCGGCAGCAGCGGCAGCGCCGTCCTGTTCTCTGGCTCTCCTCGCCATCTCTACTCCTCGCTTCCGGAAACATGGCCTCTGGTGTGGCTGTCTCTGATGGCGTCATCAAGGTGTTCAATGACATGAAGGTGCGCAAGTCTTCCACACCAGAGGAGGTAAAGAAGAGCAAGAAGGCGTTGCTCTTCTGCTTGAGCGAGGACAAGAAGAACATCATCCTGGAGGAGGGCAAGCAGATCCTGGTAGGTGATGTGGGCCAGACTGTCGATGACCCCTACGCCACCTTTGTCAAGATGCTGTCAGATAAGGACTGCCGCTATGCCCTCTATGATGCAACCTATGAGACCAAGGAGAGCAAGAAGGAGGACCTGGTGTTTATCTTCTGGGCTCCTGAGTGTGCACCCCTTAAAAGTAAAATGATTTATGCCAGCTCCAAGGATGCCATCAAGAAGAAGCTGACAGGAATCAAGCACGAATTACAAGCAAACTGCTACGAGGAGGTCAAGGATCGCTGCACCCTGGCAGAGAAACTGGGGGGCAGCGCCGTCATCTCCCTGGAGGGCAACCCTTTGTGAGCCCCTTCTAGTCCCCTGCCTGGAGCATCTGGCAGCCCCAGACCTGCTCTCGGGGGTTGCAGGCTGCCCCCTCCCTGCCAGACCGGGGGGGCTGGGGAGATCCCAGCAGGGGGAGGGCAATCCCTTCACCCCAGTTGCCAAACAGCCCCCTCCCACCCCCTGGAGTTCCCTCCCTCCATCCCTGACGGTTCTGGCCTTCCCAAACTGCATTTGATCTTGATTCCTCTTGGGTTGAAGCAGAACCGGGCACCCCAGTTTGGGGGGGGCCCGTATTTTTTTTTAACAAAACCCTCACTCCCCACCTGTTCCTCTCCCTTCCCATGCTGCCAACTTCTAACCGCATAGTGACTCTGTGCTTGTCTGTTTAGTTCTGTGTACAAATGGAATGTTGTGGAGATGACCCCTCTCCATGCCGGCTGGTTCCTCTCCCTTTTCCCTTGGTCATGGCCATTTATGGAAGCAGGACCAGTAAGGGACCTTCGATTAAAAAACAACAACAAAAAAGACAATTAAAAAAAAGACCACAAACACAATTCAATAATTAACATTTGCAAAAACAAGAACCATATGATCATATCATTAGACGCAGAAAAAGCTTTCAACAAAGCCATTATCCCTTCTTGATAAAAACCCTTGAACACCTAGGCATAGAGGAAAATTCCTCAAAACAGTAAAAGCCACCTATAATAAACCCCCAGCCAACATATTGCCCATTGGACAAAAGTTAGGGGGATTCTGAAAATAGGAACAAAACAAGGTTGCCCATTCTCACCCTCCTATTCAACATAGTGCTAGAAGTCCTTGCCAGAGCAACCAGGCAAGAGAAGAAAATCAGGGGTATCCAAATAGGAAAACAGGAAGTTAAACTATCCCTCTTTGCAAATGATATGATGCTATACCTGGAAAACCAAAGAGAGTCTGCCAAAAACCTCCTTGCACTAATAAATGACTTTGGTAAATTTTCGGGGTACAAAATCAACGTGCAAATGACAGTTGCATTTCTATACACCAGTAACAAACAGGCAGAGAAACAACTAAAAGCACAATCTCATTCACTATAGCCACAAAATAAATAAATAAATAACCAAAATACCTTGGCATCTCCTAACCATAGAAGTGAAAAACCTTTACAAGGAGAGCCATAAAACACTGCTCAACGAAATCAAAGAGAACATAAACTAATGGAAAAACATTCGAAACTCATGGACTGGAAGAATCAATATTCTCAAGATGTCCATCCTACCCAAGGCAATCTACAGATTCAACGCAATACCCATCAAATTACCAACATCATTCTTCTCAGACCTGGAAATGACAATACAGAAATTCATACAGAAACCAAAAAAAAAGTATGAATATCCAAAACAATCCTCACCAAAAGAAACAAAGTGGAAGACATCACACTTCCAGACTTTAAACTTTACTAGAAGACTAAAATAATCAAAATAGCCTGGTACTGATACAAGAATTGGTATATAAAAAAAAGGAACAGGATAGAGATTCCAAAACCAAAAACTCTGTCAACCAACTCATCCTTGACAAAGCAATCAATAACAACTACTAGGGAGAGGAGACCTTATTTAGCAAATGGTGCTGGGAAAACTGGCTGACCACATGCAGAAGAATGAAACAGGATCCCTACCTATCACCATATACAAAAGTCAGTCCTAAGTGGACCAAAGACCTAAACGTAATACCTCAAACTATAAGAATCTTAGAAGAAAATGCAGGAGACACCCTTATGCACATCGGAATAGGCAACCCATTCTTGATCATAACCCCAAAAGTGTATGCCATAAAAGATAAGATAGACAAGTGGGACCTCATTAAACTGAAGAGCTTCTGCACAGCAAAAGAAACCATCAAGAGAGTGGGAAGACAACCCACAGAATGAGAAAAAATATTTGTCAACTGTATATCTGACAAAGACCTAACATCCAGGATCTGCAAGGAACTCAAATGAACTGACAGGAAAAAAACAAACAGCCCTATTAAAACGTGGGCAAAAGACATGAACAGATACTTCTCAAAAGAAGACATACAAACAGCCAACAGACACATGAAAAAATACTCAGCCTGACTAATCATCAGAGAAATGCAAATCAAAACCACACTGAGATACCACCTAACTCCAGTAAGGATAGCCATAATTAATAAATTTAAAAAAACAAATGCTACCGAGGGTGTGGCGAAAAGGGAATGCTTCTGTACTGTTGGTGGGAGTGCAAACTTGTTCAAACTCCATGGAAAACAGTGTGGTGATTTTTAAAAGAACTAGAAATTGACCTTCCATATGACCAAGCACTCCCTCTCTCGGGAATATACCTGAAGGAACTCAAATCATTCTAAAAAAAAGATACTGGCACATAAATGTTTCTTGCACCACTATTCACAATAGCAAAAACACGAAACCAAACGTGCTGCCCATAGAAAATGGACTGGATAAGGAATATGTAGAACATATACATGATGAAGCGTCATGCAGCCATAGTATTCTGAACATTTACCTCAATACTACAAGAGAGGGATGGCAGTAGCAGGACACTTCCGGGGAGGGGGCATGTAACACAACTAAGGGAACCTGATCTGAAACCAGGGGAAATGAGGACCAGTTGGAAGCCCATACTTCACCTGCACATAGACTACTTATGTATCTAATCCTGACTTGTACCCCAACATTATAATAAAATAATTTAAAAAGAGTGAAACTTAAAGTATACAACTTAAGGAAAAACTCATTTAAGAGACCTGGGAATCCAGGATGGAATGCAGACTGTGGCAAATGTCCAGTTGTAGTATAATGTATGACATAAACTCACTGAAGAGGATGAAGGTTAAAGCTGCTCATCTAAGTACTTTGGAAACTAGTGGGATCTGTAAGACCAAAAGAAAAAGGAATAATATGAAAGCACTTTACTCTAGTTGGTAAAGTAGTTCTTCATGACAGTATGGGTAAACAATCATAAAATTTCTGTACTTGTATACTGGGATTAAGCAATAAAAAAATGGATGGTGGATATTGAGTGCCAGGATTCACACTATTGAAGAAGGAGTTTACAGTTAAGCAAGGGGAGGAGACTAGAATGATCCATATGGTAATAGATTAGAATCAGTGACATAAATATTAATGCATATTTAGCTTAATATGAATAGATAAACACAGAGAGATAATTAGATGTAGATAATGTATATACATAGATAAATGTACATATGTTAGGATACACACAGACATTTTCCAACTCTGTTAGTTGAATGGGCTCGGAAGCAGTCTGAATACAGCAGCAACAATAAGCACAACTAGCATCCAGATTTTGTTTAATAGCATTCTCCAATAAAAGAAACGCAGGTCCCCTGGAGAAATGACTGACTCAAGGGCTGCAGCAGGAAATATACCAGAAGAACCTGAAACATCTTGCAATTCAAGAAAAAATAAGTGCTCAACTACACACACACACACACACACACACACACACACACACACACACACACACCTGAAGGGAGCATATCAAAGGGACACAAGAGCCAATGAAAAGAGTTTGCAATGGCCAAAGCAGAAATAAATTGAGCAACAAAATAAAGGAGGTAGTATTACTAAATTACAACCCAAAGTATAAAATAAATATTCATTAGTTTATACTGACATAAATAAATGATTAATATATAAATAGGAACAAATAATCTTCCAGTCAAAATTCTAAAAAAAATTATGTAAATACTGTCAACCCTATCTATTCATGTGTTCTGCATCCATAAACTTCAGATTGAAAAAACAATAAAAATAACAATACAATAAAAATAATGCAAATAAAAACACAGTTTAATGTCTATTTATATAGCATTTACTCTGTATGATTTAAAGGATACAGGAGAATATATGCAGGTTGTATGCAAATGCAGGTTGTATACTTTATACAAGAGAATTGAGCATCCATTGATTTTGGTATTCGAGTGGGGTCATGGAAGTAATCCCCCACGGATATCAAGGGACAACATGTACTCTGCTCTCAAGGAAGTGGAATCTAAAACTTCACATTTATTAAATTTGGGTTCCACAGAGTGACTTCCTTTCAAAGAATATAGCATGGAAAAAGAGAAAAGAGAGAGAACTTACAGTGCAAAGGCAGTAAACTCTGTCTCAGCCAGATGAACATCGACAGTGATAAATTATAGGGATAGCATGCACCATTTTTATGATGTGATAAGAACAGCACTTTGCTTCTATGATCTTTCTCCGCAAAAGCCACAGCCCCATTCTAACTATGAGAAAAACATCAGACAAACTTCAGTAGAAGGACATTCTACAAAATACCTAACTAGATCTCCTCAAAACTGTTAAGTTCATCAAAAATAAGGAAAGCTTGACAAATACTGTGTGATCTCATTTACTGTGGAGTCTTAAAAAGTCTAACTCGCCGGGCTCCGTGGCTCAGCCTGTAATCCCGCGCCTCTGGGAGGCTGAGGTGAGTGGATTGCCTGAGCCCACAGGTTCGAGACCCGCCTGGGCAGCGAGACCTCATCTCTACAATAAATCAAAAAATCAGCCGGGCGTGGTAGCGCATGCCTATAATTCTGGCTACTTGGAAGGTTGAGGCGGAAGGATCGCCGGAGCCCAGCAGGTCGAGGCTGCAGTGGCCGGGAGCAGCCACTGCACTCCAGTCTGGGCGACAGAGTGAGACTCCAACTCAAAAAAAAAAAAATCTAACTCATAAATGTAGATAATATAATGGTAGTTATCTGAGGTAGGGTGGGAGTGAAGGGGATTTTGGACAAAAGATACAAAATTTCAGTTACATAGTTGAAATAATTTCTAATTATTTATTGCACAGCATGGTGACTATAGTTAATAATAAAGTATATGTTTCCAATTTTTAAAATAATAGGCTTTAAATATTCTCACCACAAAAAATTCAAAGTATGTGAGATGATGAATATATTAATTAGCTTGATTCAATCATTCCATAATGTGTATATATCACATTTCACCCCATAAATATATACAATTATTATTTCTCAATTAAAAGTTTTAAAAACAAAAAATGTCTGAGAAAATATCACAGCCAAGAGGGCCTTAAGGAAGCATGATATCTAAGTATAAGGTTGTATCTTAGATGGAATCATGGAACAGAAAAATGAAATTAGGCAAAAACTGAGGAAATCCAAAAAAAGTATGGAATTTAGTCAATAATCATGTAATCAGTACTGGTTTAT